AGACTGAACGAACTATTCAATCGTTGGAAGACTTGTTGAGAGCATGTGTTCTTGAGCAGAGAGGTTCGTGGGATACTTATCTTTCGTTGATAGAGTTCACCTATAATAACAATTACCATTCTAGTATTGGGATGGCACCTTTTGAAGCATTGTATGGTCGAAGATGTAGAACTCCTTTATGTTGGCATGAATCTAGTGAAAGTGTAGTACTTGGACCTGAACTTGTTCTTGAGACTACTGAGAAGGTGAAGTCGATTCGAGAAAAGATGAAAGCTTCCCAAAGTAGACAGAAGAGTTATCATGACAAGCGAAGGAAGGATTTAGAATTTCAAGCGGGTGACCATGTGTTTTTAAGAGTTACACATGTGACTAGTGTTGGGCGAGCATTAAAGTCTAAGAAGCTCACTTCTCGTTTTATTGGACCATATAAGATTTCAGAGAGAGTGGGGAATGTTGCTTATAGAGTGGCTTTACCGCCTAATCTTTCGAATTTGCATGATGTGTTTCATGTGTCGCAACTCCAGAAGTATATTTCAGATCCATCTCATGTGATTCATATGGAAGATGTGCAAGTACAGGATAATCTTACGGTGGAGACTATGCCTGTACGGATCGCGGATCGTGAAACAAAGACTTTTAGGGTCAAAGAAATTGCTTTGGTTAAAGTGGTTTGGCTAGGGGCTGCCGGAGAAAGCATGACTTGGGAGTTGGAGAGCAAGATGCGAGACTCCTATCCTGAGTTGTTTGATTAAGGTAAATTTTCGAGGATGGAAATATTCTAAGTGGGGGAGAGTTGTAACGCCCGTAATTTAATTAATTATTTAATTAAATTATTGTTGGAATATTTGTGAAATTGTGTTGTGATTAGTTGAATTTATTATTTTATTAAGTGGTGAAATAATATTAGAAGAATGACATTATTTGATGTGGGCTTGTTTTAAAGGATGGAAGTAGTAATAAAGGGGGTGTATTAGTTTTAAGCCCATTAAGGAATAAAGAGAATAATAGGTTATTTTATTATTGTTAGAAAGAATAGAAAAGAAGAAGCAGTAAGAAGAATAAGGATTAGAGGAAGAACGCGAAAGCTGTTGGAAGAGAGGAAAGAGGCAGAACGAGAATTTAACCGGAAAAGTTATAGAGCGAAATTCAATCCAAGGTAAGGGTGGGGTTCTGACTCTATAATTGGGTTCATGATAATTGGTATGTGGGTTAGAGGTGAAATATTGTTTGGCTTATGATTGAATTATATATGATGTTGTATGATGAAAATCGATGATTGAAAGATGAATAATGACGTCCCGGTGCTCTTTAATTGATGTAGAATTATAGGATAACTGTAAGTGATGATTATCTATGATTAGATTAGGTTTTTAGGGTCTTAAGTATGGAACCCGTAGTGAAAACATAGAGAAAAAAACACAGAAATTATGCATGGCAGAGCAGTATGTGTCGATCCCAAATATTATGTGTCGATACAAGAAGGCTTGTCGACTCAGGATGAGTCAACACGAAGGAGTCATGTGTCGATACATGAGGGCTTTTAGACTCAGGATGAGTCGATACATAGGGGTATGTGTCGATACATACAGTGTGACAGACTCAGTATGAGTCAATACAAGGGAGTGATGCGCCGACTCATGTGGCGTGTTTAACTCAGTACGTGTCGACCCAAGGCATTACGCGTCGATCCATGTTGTTTGGTTTTTGGCAGAATCAGTTTGAGAATGTTATAACTTGAGTTTTCAGATTCCGTTTGAGGTGTCGTTCAAAGCGTTGAATAGCTAACGCGATGAACTTCATTCTTAAGGATTAAAATAAAAAGTATAATCCCAGTACCCAAATTAAGATTTGAGTTAGTTCACGCGGTAATCATTATGTTGGTTTTTGTGAAGAATGATGAGGATGAAACATTTATAGATTACTGTCTGATTTGTAACAGTAGAATTAATGATGATAATGACGTAGAATTACAAAATAGTAATATGCAAAGGTTTGGTAATTAGAAGTAAGCCTTAGTTGATTAACTAGTTATAGGCGAACCATGTTGTAGGCCTATGGCCAACGTTGCGAGATTGACGAATTTCTGTTGTATTATTGTTGTGGCTGAGTTGCTGTGATTTACGATGATATATGATGTTTGATGAATTATGAAGATACACGATGTTTGATGAATTATGATGATAAATGATGTTGATGAAAGATGTTGAAATGCCTCTAATAAATTGGCAGGTTTTAAGATGTAGGCTTTTGGCCAACGATGATGTTGTGTTGAGATGTTGCTAATTATGGTGTTGTCATTACATTCATGATTGTGTCGCATACATTACATTTCAAGATGGAGCTTATGCTCATTAAAGATGACATGTATTGGTGAATATTAAGATGAAGGCTTATGCCTTGTTGACACCTCTATTTATTGGCAGATTTTTAAGATGTGAGTTTTGCTCCAACGGTACCACATGCATTTGCATAATATTGAGTCACATTATATGATTGCATAAAAAAGTTGTGAATTGATGTGATGAATGTGTATTATAGTTGGTATTTCTGTTGCAATTATTGTTGATTAAAGATGAGAAGTGGTGACGTTATGTGATCTAATTTAATATATTAATTATCATACGCTTTATTATATTGTTAGATATCTCACCCCTTCTGTTTGAATGTTGCCCTTATGTTGGTAACGTACAGGTAATCGAGAATGAAGGTTGTGTACCTTTAATAGTTCGAGACGTTATGTGATCTAATTTAATATATTAATTATCATACGCTTTATTATATTGTTAGATATCTCACCCCTTCTGTTTGAATGTTGCCCTTATGTTGGTAACGTACAGGTAATCGAGAGTGAAGGTTGTGTACCTTTAATAGTTCGAGTCGGTGTCATTGCTCTGATATGTAACACTCGGGGGGGTGAACGCTTGTTGCTTTTGATTGTTGATTATTCAGTCGTTGAACTTTAAGTTGATTATTATTAAATTGTGTTGTTTTGAAGTTGTTGTAACGATGATAAAGATGTTATTAAGAATTCCGCTGCATAGTTGTTTAAATTGTTGAAGTAAGAGATTAAATTGTTATGATGATGGTTCATCCTAAGTTTTAAAGTGTTATATATCCACGATGAATGCAATGAGTTTTTAAATGATGAATTTGTGACATCCCGATTCGTTTGTATGAATGATTTTATAACTCTGATTTATTTATATAATTGCCAGATAAAATTGGGATGTTACAAAAATTCTTACCGAATGCGAATTAGATTTTAGCGTTTCTTCTTTCATCACCTTCATACAATTTTCTTTAAATATTTGTCAAAATTTCAACATTGCACTCCACAATGAAAAATTCTTCACATTACACTCTCCATTTCACAAATATTGTTTTATTTAACTTGACACAATTCTTAAAAACAAATAATTATATTAACTTTAATATTAAAACAAATATTATTTATTAAAATATTTTTATTATTAATAATTAGTAGAATAATTAAATAAAATTTCACTAAGAATGAATCGTTCGGGTACTATCCGAGTTCGATTCTTGATGAAAACAAAATTTAGTCAATCAATCATCCTTCTGAACTATAAAACCAAATTAGTCGATTCATTATATAGATCAAAACTGATTGACTAAAACTAAAAAAAGAATAAGTAAGTAAAATGAAAATTTATAAATAAAAGTTTAATAATATAGAAAATTAACAAATAGTAATTAATAATCTAAAAAATAATATTGTTCAATTAAATAAAATAATAAATAAAACACTTTAATAAAATAAAATAAATAATTTATTGGGTTTCTTTCTTTTGATAAAGAAAAAAGTTATTATTATTTTTTATATTAGGAGTGTGTTTGTTTCAAGTTATCAAATTACATTAAAATCATATTTCTTAAATTCATATTTTTTCGAATAATATTCTAACTTATATGTTTGGATGAAAATAATTTTTTTTATGAATGTTTATAAATTTATTTAATTTAAAAATTATGAAAAATAAAAATAGTAATAATTTGTGCATAGAAGTGAAAAGTTAGTGATAGTTAGATTTATTTCCATGAGAATGTTAGATTTCCACCCTTTAATCATGAGAATTAAAAAAAAAAATCATTTGTAAATAAAATTCTTGAAAATAAAATATATCTTAAAATAATTTTTGTAAATTTGAATCAAACACGAGAATAATTTGAATCAAACACGAGAATGTTATATTTCCATGACCATATTCTTTTAAATATTTTTTACAATCTTAAAACAAACACACCCTACTAGTTGATTTAGTATTATTCCAATAAAAATGTTTTACTTAAAAGATGATGCATTGTTAATATAAATTTATTTTAAACTATCATTCAATAAAAATATAATATTCTATTATAATATATCAGTATTTTTTAATTAAAAGTGTGATTTAATATTAGTTTACCTTGTAAAAATATTCTGTATTTTTTTTTCTTTTTAAGATAAATATTTAAAAAAATTAGAGAAACGAATATGAACAAAAATAGAAATCAAATATATTTAATTATTCCCTCAAACATAGAAACTCGCAAAGACTGAACCTTGTATTGAAAAAGACTAAACTCCTCTATCCACGCATCAGAATCCGCTTCGCTTTTCACTTTCCCTCTCACCGGCCCTTCCGGTTACCAGTCTCCATTGTCTTTTAATATTCTGCACACCATCACCGAGTCACACACCACCGAGTCACAGACTCGCTATTTACTTCTCCATACCCAAACACAGAGAAACAGAAAAAAAACATTCTTAACCTTGTTCATCCTCGAAACATGCATTCCCATTTTACCCCTCGCGTTCTTCTCTATTTCCCAATCTCTGCCACCGAACCTAAACCCTTAATCGGAGCTAACCATACCTCAGCTAGATTCTGCTCCCGATAAAATTAAAATAAAAACTCCATGTTTTCTTTCTATTTTACATTTTTTATTTATTTTTACTTGATTTTCATTTTTCAGTAATTAAAAAAAAAAAGTGTACAATGGCTATTATGGAACCTATCGCAGCGAAACCTAGCTCTTTCTGGAACCTTCTGAAACGGTTACTCCTCTCCGGCGTTTTCATCATCGCCATCCGTTTCGCTTACGTCATCTCCATCGCCGGTGAGTCATGCAACGTCGGTAATTTCTGTTTCTTCTCCCTGCCAGAGACTCTCACCATCGCTATCACCGGCAACGATCCCTTCTCCGGTGACTCTACCTCCGGCGGAGTTCGTCGAAACTCGTCGCTATCAGAGCTTTATTCTAGTAAAGAATGGCTCGACAGTGTTCATTTCTACTCGTCGGTGTTTCATGACCTAATCTCCGGCGGTTACCTCACAACGGAATCGAAGTCGCTCTGTGTGGAAACGCCGACCGGACGCGATGTTTTTGCTTTAAGAGAAATCGGCGTCCGGAACGCGGTTGGAATCTCGAAGAAATCAGTGAAGCCGCTTGTTAAATCAGGAAGCGGTGAGCGAATTCCATTCGGCGAGAATTACTTTGATTTTGTTTTCTCCGGTGAAGGCTCGTTCGCGAGGTCGGCGAAGCCGGCTGTATTTGCGGCCGAGATTGCTCGGACGCTGAAACCGGGAGGAATTGCGGTATTTCATTTCACAAAACCTAAAGATAGTTATAGTTTCAATTCATTCCTTGATTTGTTTCATTGTTTCAAAGTATTGAAATTACATGTCTTAGAAGGTTTTGATTCATCAATGGCTTATATACATGAAACTGTGTTGAAGAATGAGTGTGTTAATGATGATGTTGCTGGTAAATTCGATAGTGATTATTACTCGAATGAGAAATGTTATGTTCCGGGGTATAAGAAAGATTTGGTTAGAATTGCTGAGCCATTTATTGAAAAGGAACCATTGAAACCATGGATTACTTTGAAAAGGAATATAATGAACATAAAGTATCTATCTTCAATGGTTGATATAAGTTTCAAGAATAGGTATTTGTATGTTGATGTTGGAGCTAGAAGCTATGGTTCTAGCATTGGATCATGGTTTAGGAAACAGTATCCGAAACAGAACAAGACGTTTCATGTGTATGCGATTGAAGCCGACAAGACTTTTCACAAGGAGTATGGGTTGAAGAAAGGGCTTACTTTGATTCCTTATGCTGCTTGGGTGAAGAACCAGACATTAAGTTTTGAGATTCATCGCAATCCCGGGGAGCATATTGAGGTTAAAGGAAGAGGGATGGGTAGGATTCAGCCTTTGCAGTCGAGAGGGAAGGAGTTTGATGGGGAGGTAGAGAAGATACAGGGATTTGATTTTGCGAATTGGTTGAAGAACACGGTTACGAAGAATGATTTTGTTGTGATGAAAATGGATGTGGAGGGTACTGAATTTGATCTGATACCGAGGTTGTTTGAAACTGGGGCAATCTGTTTGATAGATGAGATTTTTCTCGAATGCCATTACAATAGATGGCAGAGATGTTGTCCTGGGCAGAGGAGTTCAAAGTATGAGAAAACATATGATCAATGCTTGGTCCTGTTCAATTCTCTTAGACAAAGTGGAATTCTTGTTCATCAATGGTGGTAATTTCCTGATAGGTGAAATTCTTCTATACTTGTTCTGTAACATTATTATTTACATTTTATCCTTTTACACTTTACTTCTTCAAAGTCCATAGAAATTAGAAAAGATTAATGTGTTTCAAATTTGTTTCCATTTAAAAGTTGGAATTGAAAATCAAAGCATTTCTTTAAATCAACTGTATTATTCTCTGCACAAGTTTCATCTCGTATATACTTTGAATAGATATGGGAATTGATAACTGGATTCTGTCATCTCTTATTTGTTTTTACTATGAAGAGAATTTTATTGTTCTATTTTGTCAGTTTGGTTTTAGTGTACTATGCAGATTAAAACTGTTGGTAGATTTTAAGGTCAAAAGCTCTTGGATCTTTTCACTTGAAAGCACGTGGTAGTTTTTTTATGTTTCTTGCCATAAATGAGGTACGGAACAAGATTAAAACAGTTTGCTAATTTTGTAAACTTGTTGGTAGTTTGAGATAAGTTCATAAATAGTCTTGATTATATACTTGCTTGAAGGGGAAGCAAGCAAGTACCTAAATTACTTCCATGTAGGGTATAAGGGTAGAAAGCTAAACCATAGACATTGCTATCACACTAAACTTTGCTGCCAAATAAATTTCACTGTATTGTATTCAAAAGAATGTTATAAAGAAAAAGGATGATCGACGCTCATCTTGTCTTTGAAAGGGAAAGAAAGATATTAGAGGTAATCATTAAGTAAGATTAGTGTGAGACTTTACTAGTTTTGTTTAATTGGAATGTATTCCAGTGTAGTGTTGCCTGTTGTTGAAACGTCATTTTCTCATAAAAGAAGGTAGTAAACATTGGCGTGATTTCCATGGGACACACTGCTTGGACATCAACTTTACTAGTTGCAACGCATAAATTGTTCAAATGCTAATTTTGACACCATATAAGTTTAAATTGTAAACATATTTTTAAAAATTGTAAATGCAAATATTAGTAGTAAGTTTAAAATATAAAAGAAATTGAATGTAACTATATATGTTTTGGTGGTGCATTGATGTTATTTGTGGTGTGGCATTTTTTTGTAGCTCTTCTTTTCTTCCTTTATTGGGTTCACTATTCTGGTGGGTTGATTTGGACTTTGTGGGGTTGCCACAACGATGGTAGTTGAAGAAAAACTAAAAGCACAACAAAAAGATTATATTATTATTATTATTATTATTATTATTATTATTATTATTATTATTATTATTATTATTATTATTATTATTATTATTATTTAGTGACACCAACGAGACAACAGCCCAAATTCTTAATTATGAGGTGCAACTTAGCTGGAACAATTAAGATTCCACATTGATTAGAAGCACATCACATGTAGCAAATGAAAAGGGGAAAAGCATGCTCCATAATTGAGGAAAAAGAAGAAATTTTAGAGATGAATATCTTGGTGTTTTGTCTCATTAGTATCGTGTCTTGGAAGAGAATGATGGATGGTAATGAAAAAGTGGTAAAATTAGCAGAGTGCATTTTTTACACGATAGCTTCTAACTATTTTAACGTTGTTGCACATTGGAAATTGACCTTTTAGAAGAAGATCTGGTTGTAGTAGCATAAATCAATTGTCCATATCAACCTCCACTAAATTTCGTGGTTCAAATTTCAGAATTCTTTATCGCCCATGTTATTTTTGAGGTTAGGAATGCATCAGGTATATTTTATTGTATAAACCCTCAAATGACAAACCAAACATCAAAAGTTTACCAAGGATTACCAATCATTTTGATAACTATTGACAGTACACTAATGTCTTATGGTAACAACGAATGAGCATAGATGTATGGAACTTTTATACTAAAAGAGTCCTTTTGTTATTCCAATTTTTCTTCTTCTAATTTTATGAAAGCTATATCAAAATAATCTATTGCAATTTAAAACAAAACAAAAAAAAAACAGATATTTCTCCATAGTACATACATTGCACATTGTTAAATGGTAATCCAAGTTTATAAGTAGTTAACCATTAATTGGTCAAAAGTTAGTTACTTAATTCTTAAGTAGTTAGAGTTTGTTTTATAACTTATTCATTATCTCTTACTTTGATTATTTCAACTTGCAAAGTACCTTAACACAAGCAACTGGTTTTCTTTCTTCTTTCTTATGTTTTGTATAGCACATTGTTCCAAAAATTAGTATGATAGAGCCTGATTTGACTCATCTATTAATCAACTATCTAACTAAGAATAATATGTCACTAAACTCCATAATTTACCCTTGTAACATAATTATTTTACACTACAAATTTCCCTTAATTGTAACTGACTAAATCAAATTAAATTGTCCAATGAAAAACAAACATTTTGCTAAGTGGCACACATATTTTTTAACTAGAGAGATATGTGAATTCTTGATTTAAATACCTAACTTCACATGCCTAAGAACCAACCATGCCTCGTCAAGATCACCAAAAACTTCATAATGTCACAATATATTGTCTGACATCACATCCTCATAAGAGGCATAAGATCTTCACAAGTTTGAACAACACACAAACAATATTTGTACCATTGCAGCAACAATCCACAGACAAATACATGACTCCCCCTGTCATGAATAACCAATACTTCAACTGAAGATGAAAAAATGAGTACTAGATGAAAACACATGAAAGACTTCATGCTTTCATGTTGAAGAACAACACTTTCCCACATATGTTGAACCCCGACTCCCTTAGTAGAGTCAAACCAGAGTCAAATACTCTCACTCCTTGAGAATACATCCAAGAACTTCGACTCCTTCACAATATAATGACATATCTGATCACTGTCATTTCATAACCATACTCTGTATCATGATCTTTTGAATAGGCAAGATGTCATGTATACTAGGTGCGAAGTCACTCACAATTTTCAAAACTTCTTAATTTTCTTAAAAGATTTACTAAGATCCAGATTATCAACACTCATCCAGAGTGACTTGCAGTAGAAGAAAAACACCTCATCAGAACACTCTGCTCATACCTCAGTATCTGTCAGCAGTCTTCTGCCCTTACATCCGCTGTAGTTGTTAATACTACTGGAGTCTAAAACATAGTAGTCATGCATTCACCAAGCATACTACTGTAGACAATATTAGATTCTCCACATTCTAATCCACATAGTCAAAAATTCCACTTATGACAATAATGCTTGAGCATCCAACTCCGCATGCACAATCCCAAGCAGTAAAAATAAAACAGCCATCATTGATCATGATGTTACAAAATTATTTGGGACATCAACTTCTTAATATAGAAACCAATCACTCTGGTTCTTAAATCAATTCAAAGGACTCATTGTGCATAGAAATCCTTTACGAAGTTCCCAATATAACACACAACCAGTGCAACTTACTCAGGTTAATCCAAATGCCTGAATGTTATGGAGAGAAATTAACTCTCACATACTCTCTGAAACACAATGTTCATAATGCATAATTGTATAACTCCTCAGACAAATACTTAGTATCCCGTCAAAGTATTCGCCATTAGTCTCATGCACAACCTCCTTATATGATAAACAAATACTAAGCTCCCGTTAAAGTATTCATTATATGTCAGATAAGATTACCTTATCACACAAGGTAGGACATTTGGTATGACATCCTTCTTCTGCATACATTTGGAACCTGCTGACGACATTTATTCACACCCTAAAATATTCCAGATTAGGTCAGTGGCCTGACCTTAAACTCATCTGAACAACAACACCTTCCTTGGATGAAGGAATAAAACACACTTTAAGATGATGTTCCAACATCAGGTTCGACATCAGTCTCAAACACATGGGTTTCACCATTAACTATGGTCTGGAGACACCATAGTAATCCATAACTCTTGCAAGGGATACAAGATGATCAACCATCAATAGCTGATCAACCTTCAAACTCATACCAATACATGCAGAGCATGCACACCTCAAGAAGATTTCTTCTTATAAGCACAATGTTCAGACCTCCTGTCTGACTTTGAGGTATTGAATGCCATCTTTCTGCACCTAAAGAGGAGATTCCCTCTAATAGGTATCTGGAGCAGACTTCAACAATAATGGCATTGACTAGTCATTATACACCATAAGCAGACTGTTCAGACTAAGTCTGCTTCTCCCAATACACAAGGATTCCCTTCAATCCTTGCAAAACATATATTCCATTATATGAGGACACCACATAACTGAACCTTAACAGAGAGAGGAACTTCCCATAGATACCAGGGAACCATAATCATTTGGTCCAAAAACTAATAAATCCCCATTGCTTCAAACAAACTGAAATGACCATCCTAGGTGACTCAGATGACACTTCAACAGTGCAAACCCCAATCAACCACAGAATTTCGGTTGACATAACTTCAATGCACACAGCCCTTGAAAGACCTTTCCACAACAACAGAACAAGATTTTCATGCTCTCATAGACTTGATAAGAGTACCAAGTTAGAGTAAACAACCTCCATCCTATTTATGAAAAGTACTACTAGATATATTGAGAAAAATGAATTCTCAATACAAAGATGTCAAGACATTATGTCTGACATTTCTTCAAGTTCTTCTAGCTTCAGATTAAGGACTCCCCCTTATTAATTGCTAAAAAAGCCTTGAGAATCATAAAGTAGCTGCACATTCTGTGGTTAATCCATTACTTCCCTCAAATAGAATTTCTTCTATATCCATAAACAAGATTCCATAAATTTGTCTCCTTTGATTAGAAGGATCTTCCAGATGTCTAGAGAGAATTTCCTTGACATTTAAGCTTGACCTCCACATATAAAGGATTTAGATGAGATACCTTTATCAAGCCTCCACAGAAAAATAAAGCACAACCTCTTCACTCCATCTTGCTTGAATCAGAGATAAACTGACCCAACAAGTAACCATATGTTGATCGTGTCCTAACCAACATATTTATCTAAGATATGTTTCTAAATTAGAAACTTCTTAGACACAGATGCCTCATCTTCCATATTGGGAGTAGGTTCCAAACATAAGTGATCAATACACA